GGCTCATTTTCTTTCATTGATTCTATGAAACTCTACAAATCATTGCAAAAAAATTAAATCTTGGAGGAATCAGAATCGTCAAAAATATTAAGTCTTGGAAGGAATTTCAGGGGAATGTATACAAAGAAAAAAACGAAACGACTGTCCATTCATTCATTGTGAGAAAAAGAAGCAACAAAGATATTCGCCCCTATTCACTTTCCAAAAATTGTCATCAACATCATATTTATAAGGATTTCTAAATTGACAGCGATCTTTTCAGCCCACCCCATGTCTAGTCGCACTGAGTAGCTGTGATACAACGAAACATTACTCTTTACAAACGACATAATTTAGCTCTTGAAAATATATTTTCAATTGAGCACTGTTGAATGACAAGCTAATTCTATAAACAATAGTCACCTGCTCTAATGAAATGCTCTCCAGTAAAATGAATAGAGCCCTATGGCTGATTGCCATTGGTTTACATTCGTAAAAACAATACGCTACATTTAGCTAGTACTTTCTGTCGAATGAAGATAGCGCTATCGTAAAAAATCTGACTCCAAATCTGTTGGGTTTCAATCCTGGCTCAAGGCATTCAGATGTATTGAGGAGCTGTGATACAACGAGACATTACTGTCTGCGAATGACATACATTTTCCGCCATTTCAGACATGGGGATCCGGTAGAATAACACTTTTGGAGTCATAAGTTATGCATGTTAGAAATTCCCGTCGATTTCCACGTATGAGGATCCGACAACCACATTCAGTTTAAATGTTTTTGTCTCAGGATATAGCCACAGGAATACTTGATGACGCATGCTGCAGTTGCCTATTAGACGGAAAATACGACTGATTATCTATCTATCTATCTATCTATCTATCTATCTATCTATCTATCTATCTAATACATACATATATATATATATATATATATATATATATATATATATATATATAGATAGATAAGATAGTATGTAAAGCTAATGGTAGTCGGTTCTACTGTACCTCGAGATCTTAGAAATTGCGACACATAACAGTTTTGACATTTCGTGGCTCAACACAATCGATAAGATTATCGGAATTCGAATGAAGTATGACAAAGGCATCCATTTCTAAACCTCTGGGAGTTTTGCCATCTTTTGATCTACGATAAAACGTATCTAGTTATCAGTCTGTGGTAATCCCCTTCTTTTTTATGTGCAATGTCCTTTTAGGACGTAGGCGATCATGGCTCTCCATCCCTTTACCACTTGCAACTCTCGACAAGTTTTTCGTCTCTGCTCACTCCCCCAGACAACGTTCTGTCATCCACCTGCACACTCTCGCCAGGTATATTACGCGCTGCTTTCCCTTGTCTCTTTCCTTTCTGATTCTCCAGGCCATCTTTCCTCATTATTTGTCCCAGAAAATTCGGCTGCCTCTTTTTGATGTTAAGTATCAGCTTTTTCCTTGTTTGCAAACTCTCTAAGACCCCATCGTTGCTCAAACGCTCGCTCCATAATATCCTTAGCATCCTTCTGTAGAACCACATCTCTGTCGCCTCAAGTCTCTTCTACATCTTTGAGGAAATCGTCCATTATTTGCTGTCGTAAAGAAGGACAGATGTCACGTAACAGCTCAGCATTGATTTCTTTGTTACCAAATGAATCCTCCTGTCTCGCAATAATCCGCCCAGCTTTTGGAATGTGTCATTGGACATCCAAAAACGTCTACGGATCTCAGTGTCACACTTACCATCCACAGTGAAGACGCTTCCCAGATATTTCTGTGGTAATAGAGAAACGATATTTGTTCAAACATTCAACGTTGTTTTCGCTTCCATACGATATAGGAGTAATAGAATATTAACCAAGATGTCATTGTTAATGCCACGACACTAAAAGCAGCTTCTCACCAAGAAAATGATCCGAAACACAGAAAAGAAACATGAAACAAAAATCAAAGACACTAGTCACATTGGATAAAAGCGTTGGTTGTAGCAATCCATTTATTTAACACAAAAAAGTTGTGAGTTCAATACCTGGCCAAAGTAGATGGGAACAAACACTTGGAGATTTGAGTTACTAAAGGGAAGTAACTGAAACCGAGATAACCGGAAGAGGCTTGGCATGTGGAACTAGAACAATCTACAATTTACTTAGACGCAAATGTTTCATCTATATATATATATGTGCATATATATGTATATATATAATCTATATAATATACATATAATATTATATATATACATATATATATATATATACATATTCATATATATATATATATATATATATATATATATATATATATATATATATATATATATAATACGGATATATATACATATATATACATAAATATACATATATATAGACATATACATATATAATTTTTTCATTATGCTAAAAATACAAAACGGATTCTGAGCATTCATTAGTACATGAAAAATTATCCATTATGGAATTTTTTTTTTTTTTTATCCATTATGGAATTTTTTTCTTTTGTGCTATAAGGTCATGGTGACGTGTATTAAATCACGAAAAAACTGTTCCTTTACAGGCGTTTCAGAACATTACTGCAGAATTCATAGTTGATTCTGTTCAGTGCCGGTTTTAATTTTTTTTAATATAAATGTGTATTTGATATATATATATATATATATATATATATATATATATATATATATATATATATATATATATATATATATATATTCATTCTCCCAAAGGCCATATAATTTGGTATATAATGTTGGTCCATGCATAATGAATAATTACGTCAATGAAAAACAACGCATATCTTTATATAAATACTTATACTAATGAACAACATATAGTTTAACCCCTGAAGATGATCTTGGAAGAAGATCGAAAGTACTTAGGAAATGAAAATAAAAAAATTTAACCAGCTATAGCACGGAAGGTTATTCGTGATTTTATTAAAATTTAGCAGACATAATGTCTGTAATTTATTCAATCAGACATGTCTAAAAGAGAATTCGCTGCCTAAATACACGTATATATATATATATATATATATATATATATATATATATATATATATATATATATATATATATATATATTTTCCTTCGTTAACTAAATTTTCCATGCCTGATGATGACTGGACGTATAGTCAAAATTACTTGCGTATTTAAAGAATAATACAGTTCTTAAATAAAAAAAATCCACAATAACAAGGATCATAAAATTCATTAATGTTAATGCATTGTTAAAACTTAGTTAGCGAATGGATTTCGCCATTTTATATCATTACCAATAATAATTTACTTTTTGTGTGAATGATTCATTGTAATATAAATTGAGCTGCACCACATATTTGATTTAAAAGAACTGATCCGACGTGCAAATTTTCGGGAAAACAACTGAGTCATTTTTTTTTCATGCCACGTTGACTGTGAAACTCCAACAAAAAAAAAAAAAAGGTAAATTGCCATATTAGTAAAAAACTTCGCGTTGCGATTGCACGCTCCACAAGTTTTTATCCTTTATAAATAACATAATAATAAAATATTTGGATTCGCATTATATTTTTTCGTCTACTGAGGGTTGATTGAATCTTTGGCCATCACGCCAACACTTCGTGATTTGCACCCACATCCTCTTGCGTATCCAGTCAAGGACAAAGTGAACACACGTGGCGATTTTCGGGAACAGCAAAAATCTTTAAAAAAGCTTTCAGTTTCCCGTCTGACCAGTGGCAGATGAACATCGCCGAGTGAATCGTTCTGATTCCAAATGGACTGCCCATCGAAATAAAGATGATAGCAAAGGTTGTCGACTAGATAATGAACGAAACTGAATCGACCAACAAACGCCTGTACAAGATTCTTGTACCCTTTCGGTCATTCTGAAATAAAAGGAATCCATGAAAATTACCAGCCAATGAAATATTGTTTTCACAGAAGAACTCTCCCTTCGGCGAATTAGAACTCTGCGTGGAGATATCATCAACACAACTGACCCACCAGAGACAATTAGGTTGATTTCTTGTCTTGATCTTTCTTGTCTTGATCTTTCTTGTCTTGATCTTTATATATATATCTGTATTCGCTCTTACCTTCAGTTATTTCATGATCTATTTCCCGTTTGTTAAACGAACTTTCTGTATTTATAAATAAATGTTTTATTTAGAAAAGTTTTTTTTGCTGACTCCCTTGTGTCGCTTCCATCCTTGAGTGAAGACCGAGAAAAAGAAAGGTTTTCCTTTTTTAACCCGTGGTTCACATATATGCTACAAGTTCGTAACAATATATATATATATATATATATATATATATATATATATATATATTTAAGAAATGGACGAGGTCCGACAATTTATTTATTAAAGACATTTTTATTTATGTTTAACGTTGTTATTTTATAGATACAAGTATTTCAAATGCTCTGTTTATGATAAACAGTATTAAATAACATTTACCGGCCTGAATGTCGAGAAATTTTCATAGAAAATATTCGTTCATAGTGGCCGAGTGGTTAAGGCACGTCAGCGTATATGACGGTTCCGTATAGGAAGGTTCGAATCCTGTCTATGAACGAATATTTTCTGCCTGATGAAAATTTTCTCGGACATTCAGGCCGGTAAATGTTATTTAATACTGTTTATATAAACAGAGCATTTATTAAATACTTTTTAAAATAACAACGTTAAACATAAATAAAAAATTCTTTAATAAATATATATATATATATATTGACGAATGCTGATAACCCAAACACGCACATATTAAGGTTAATCTTGACAACAGAAGAGGTCACGGGATCTCGAGACATTTTGGGAAGGCAAGTCATGAGGTTGACTGACACAATTATCTGTAGCAACAGACGTCTAGACAGAAGCTAGACAGGGGACTGACGGAGGTCGTGAAGCAGCAGGAACTGGAATTCGCGCCAAAATGCAGGACACGTGGGAATTAGAAAATTAATTGGAAGTCAGTTGCTGTCTTGTCTTTGAAGGAGCAAGAATCGAAATCGAAGCGCTGATAACTTATGGAAGAAAAGATGAGACTCATTTGGATAATGATGGAACTTGCCGATTCATCCCAAGCAACGCTGAGAATACAACCTGCAGAAACCAGAGAGAGGAAGAAAGTGTATATCCCTGTTGCAGTTTTAACCGTATTTGAGGCTGAACTGTATACAGAAGAAGAAAGAAAAAAAAAAAACCAGAGAGAAGAAGAATTATCTCTGTTACAGCCGGACCGGGTGTGAAATTGGATTTGTGCAAAGAAAAAAAAAAGAAAAAAAAGAGGAAACGTGAGAGAGAAAAGAAAGGACAATGAGTAAAAGAGAGAACTGAATATAAAGATAAGTAACTATATGTTTTGGACCCGTGTTAGAAAGATACATGCACCCATAAATATTATGTTCTTACATACCTTTCCACATGTCAAAATAGAAATATGTAAATCCTATCCCATGTCTTTTGGTGCGTTGATTTCTGCATTCGTAGTTATTCAAACTATTTTTTTATCCGTTCGGGTTCAGTCGAATCCACTTGGATTTGGACATATTTTGGTATCAACATAAGTATGAGATTCTGGTCGTCGGATGTTTTACTCATGCATACATTTTCTTTTATTTTAATATTTTGTGTATATCTACATATTAAAATTCTTATACCCAAAATTATTACGCCTTATCGTTCATATATTGTGGATTAGTACTCGTGTTGAAACCGAAGCGAACCTGGGAAAAAACTGTTCGATTATCCTAACTGAACAGTGTTCTTTAAAATATTTTTGTATAATAATTGTCCATTTGTCCCATGGCCCGTATCTCTCCACGGATGTGATAATGTGGTCGGCGTATGATCGCATTATAAACCATTCGTCGACTAGGGCATATGAATATATATATATATATATATATATATATATATATATATATTGTTATAAACCTGTAAAAAAAAATTTCCGTCAACCAATATGAAGTCTCAAATCACAAAAAAAAATCCATGACTATAGTCAACCGTTTTAAACACTATATATATATATATATATATATATATATATATATCCAAGTATAGAATTGGTGTATACGGAATAAATTCCAATAACCAAAAAAATACTATTCTTAAAAGAGTGCTCAATACATAGCAAGCAAATATCATTTTTCGGAAATTATAACATAAATTTTCGTTTTTTATAATAACATATATATTCGTTATGTAGATGATATATTTATTAGAGATGAATTGTATAAAAAAAAATAAATCAAAGCATATTGACCGTATATACAATGAAATGTGCATATATATATATATATATATATATATATATTTATATATATATATTGTATATGTATATATATATATATATTAATTATATGTATATATATACATATATATATATATATATATACATATATACATGTACACACACACACACACACACACACACACACACACACACACATATATATATATATATATATATATATATATATATATATATACATGGATATATGTAATCCATTGAGGCCTATAATAGCACGCCCAAATTGTGAGACACCATATAATCATTTTTCTAGACATCTTATTGAAACCTCTTATCAAATATTAAGGGTTTTATTTCAGATGATCTAGATTTTCTGAATCATCTTCCTAACGAGATAAACCATAATACTTACATAGTCTCTATGGATGTTATGAATTTACATAGCAACATCTTACATGATTACGGAATAGAGGCTATAAAATAATGGCGAGACACGTTTCGCCATGATCTACCAAACCGTATCAAAGGAAAGTTTATAATAGAAAGCCTAGAATTCATCTTAAAATAAAATTATTTCAAGTTCAAGGAAATACCCTACCGACAAAAACCAGGAATAGCCAAAGGGGCAAAGTTTGCACCAAAACATACCAACCTAATCATGAGATGCCATGAACTAAAAATTAATGACAGAACCTCGCAAATCTTAGGAATCACTTCATTTGAAACATAAAAGACAAATGGAAACGATATCTAGATGTTTTTTTTTATTCTGTAGAATGAAAGTCTGTATAAACTAAACTATAATTTAAAACATGCATTAATAATATAAATGCTAGCATAATATTCACTAAGGAGCAACAGCAACAAAAAAACTTCCCTTTGTAGACATATTAATAACAAAAACAAACACTAAACTAGAAACTGCCATATACTTTAAACCGATTGATCCTCGATAACATCTGCTTTTTACATCTTCCCACTGAAACACACATTCCCTCAATCTATCAAGCGATTATGCACAATAGTTTCAAATACAATCACAAGCGACCACAGAATAGAAGAGATGAAAAAATACTCAAGAGAAAATACACAATAGTATTGAAAAGGAAAACAAATTAAAATCTACACACTCCGAGAAACAAAAGGACAAAAAAAGAGAACAAATGGTCATCACATATATCTCAAATTTCAACCCAAAGAACACAGAAATCTACACACACACACACACACACAAACATACAACTGAATTTAGCAAGGCTACTAAAGGACAAAATACAAATAAATGAAAAGCCAATTAAAAAATATCCAATCATAAAGAGGAAACGACAACATAAATCACTAAAAAAAAATACTGACCAGTGCAAAACTGCAGAACACATTTCAAGACGCTCAGGTGGAAAAATTCAACCAAACACTTTGCGGAGTATTTAACTCCGACAGATCAAAATTTAAAATTAAAAATGAATTCTCGTGCCATTCAGAGAATTTAATATACATAATTACATGCAAAGATTGCCACGAGAATTACATTGTTCAAACCGGCTAGTCACTCCGACAAAGGATGACAGTTCATCGCCAATAAACCATGGACCCCAACATCAGAGAAATACCCATTAGCCAACATATAGAGAAATACGGAGGACAAAATCTGCCAAATTTTAAGATCTTCCCATTCTAACAGTGCGACTACAGAATCACTGAACAAAGGCGTATTAATAAAAAATATTTTTCATCCACAAATGCAAACCCATATTTAATTCCTTGCATAAATAGATTCTATCAAATTCCTCTTACCATAAACGACATATATAACCAGTTGCGCCCCTTTGATTTTCATTTTTTTCCTAGATACAAAAGATAAGCATGGACAAATGGAGAGAAAACAGTTAAAAAACTTTTTTGAAAAGCGAAACGAAATTGGTTAAAGTAAAAAAAGTTACAAGAAAAGGAAAACAACAAAATATTTTTCTAAGATAAAAACACTGAAAATTCAATTGTAAGTAACAAAGTCTAAAGATTTCTCTGGAAAAATTCCTGTATTATAAATAAATATCACTATATTCAGTATTAGGTGCATTTTTCCAATTCCCATTTTAATCAATACAATAAGTTTCGTACAGTATATTTGTAACACAAATATGTTTTTTAAACACACACACACACACACACACACACACACACACACACACACACACACACACACACCACCATTCCATTCCACCATTACTACAAGCACTTCTATCATTTTACTATATTATTTCCTGCTACATACATATATATATATATATATATATATATATATATATATATATATATATATATATATATATATATATATATCAAGTATCTGGTACAGTTCAATTTAAATTACATGAATGTTTTTGTATGAATAATTCATATAATATACATATATATATATATATATATATATATATATATATATATATATATATATATATGTTTCATTAAAAATGACAGACAAGTTACTACGGTTAAGCTATTTATTTAATTTTTCTTATGTTCGAACAAGAGCTTTCTTTTCTGGATAAAGAGTGTGTAAAAACTGTCCAAATATTTTAGAGTTCCGAGTGCTTTGGGCCATAACTTTAGTCATCATTAATTGAGTGTGTGCATTATGTGTGTGCTTTAGTGTGTTGGAAGGATGATTCAATTTCCGAATACGGTTAGCACATAGTGGCCTTGTTCGTAGTCAATATTGTTAAGAGTTGTTTTTTTCTTTTTCTTATTAAAGCTTCCATTATTTTTAATCTTTTTTTACAGGTGGATGAAGTTATTGTATTTGTGTTTTCTACTCGTATGTTTCCATTGCTGCATTAGTCCAAACTTCCTACCGCACCACAATTGTCATTACCGCATCAGTCCACAATTATACTTCCTTCCCCCTCAGAAAAATTAATACCACCACATAAATACCAATATGTATTACAAATTGTAATTTCTACCATGTACATAAGCGCAATCATAAAAACAAATAAATAATCGGCTTTGAAATAATAACAAACAGCATTAAAAAACTTACAAAACGGCATCAAAAATTTAAAAAATAATAACAAGTTTACCTACCATAAGCTTACACCATACGTGATAAAAACACACACGGTAGAAGGTGTGTGAACATGCGTGTATACGTACATATATAAATCTGTGAGAAAACATTCTGCGAACAAAATAGACAAACGATCTGCGCGTTGCCACTGCTAATTTGAAAAAAGTTCGCCACACAATTCAACATACAGCGACCAATTACGTACGTATGCACGCAACGACACATGGATACGCATATAAGCCCAGTGCGAACACTGTTCATATATGGTTATGTTTGTGTGAGCTGCAATGCATGAACGTGCGTGTATGTATGTCTCCATACGTATGAGTGGCGTTCCGACGACAATATTTCTTCCCACTTCCATAAAACAGAAATATACGCAACGATAAATATATACAAATATAATAAAGTGTAGATTATAAAAAAAGTGTTATTTTTAGAGAACATTTATTTTTCAAATACAATTACAAGGAGAGAGATATCTCCAAATGTCGGTGTTTTCTTACATTTTCTGAATATCCGTGTAACATCGTACTGAAACATTGTAATATTTTTTACAATTTGTTCATCATTTCTATGAGTTCGGCCATATTTTTGCATCACAATATATATATATATACATATATATATATGTGTGTGTGAGTGTGTATGTGTGTGTGTGTATCATCTGTAAAAAATAGCAAGTTGAATGTAGTTGAATAAAAACGCTGTTATTAACTTTGATCAATTTCTGTATACAATAGATCTGGATGTACGAATGCTTATAGAATAATAAAGCCTATCGATATGCGTGGAATACTATATTCTAACGGATGGCAAAGTGAATAGATTCTTTAACAAAAATTGGTTAAAAGCTATTTCAAGAAATTATTATTGTTTTAAAATGTTTAAATTTCACGATACTGGGACAATATCACGATTTAAAATATTTTTATAAATTGAAGATTATCTTTGGCCTGTGACGTATTAATTCGATTGTGATGTTGTGAAGTATATATACGTAACTGAAAAACATGAAATATTTTCTCTACACGCTGAAAATGTGGCTCCTGAAAATCTAATAAATAAAATAGTGTACCTGAAAAACAGACGACAAATCTTTCCGGTTTGCTGAAGATTTTCCTGTACGATTTTTTCTTTTTTGACTAATACAATAATTAATGAAAATATAATTTAAATTCGTAAGAATTCCAATCAAATTTGTGTATTTGCACTTAAGTACAAGATGCATTCGATTCTTGTGCTCTTTGCAAAGAACGAAATGCTAAGAAGGAAATGTCTGTTTATAGTTTCCAATATATGTCTGTCTTCCATTTATTAAATATAGAAATATTCAACTCTTCTTCAAGAAATGGTGATTTGAATGGCTTGTAACCACGTTTTGTAAAAAAGTCCACAACAAATACTCGATCTTTATAACTTAAAAGAATCCACTCCATGAAGACGTGACTGATGTGTATTGCATCGAAGAATTTCTGACCTCCTCGGATGATCTTTCCTTCATTTCCTTCTCCGTCCATGATCATCACTGCTTTTTTTCGTGGCATCAAATCGATGAGGTCATCTAAAAGGACAGTCGTTTTGTTTTTTCTTTGTATACATTCCCTGAAATTCCTTCCAAGACTTAATATTTTGACGATTCTGCTTCGTCCAAGATTTAATTTGTTTGCAATGAGTTGTAGAGTTTCATATTTATCTGATAAAGGTTTTGTGACGAGCTTGATATATTTCTCGAAATTATTAATAACAACTGATTGGTGAAATTTTTCAATGTTAATGTCCATCGCTTCTACAGCAAGTGTCGGTATTTTGAGATTAGCAGCCAAAAGTGAAAATATGCCCATGTTGGCTCCAATATCGACGAACCCATAATCAGGATTTTCAACAAGGATATTCTGGAGATATTCCATATTTAGTCTTTCCCATCTTTTCGACCTTCTTATAGAATTCGTGATATATTCTTGTGGGTCGTCGTGAACACATATTAGTATATCCCCGAGTATTGTTAAAACGGAATGCATTCCAAAGGAAGCTTGATTTGTTGGCTGAAGTTGAAGACATAATCTTTGACAGTGGCCGATGGCGAATAGGATTTTTTTATTCTCCGATGACCTGAAGTAACGTTTTGTTGTAACCTTCTTTTAGATTGAAATGTGAAAATATTAAAATTATGCAGCCGACGATGGTGATCAGGATAGACCGGAAAATGTTTCTCATTTGTGAAGATTAGAGATAAGAAAATCTTTTTACAGACAGTACAAATCCTAAGTTGTGTTTTTTTATTTTACTATTTCCTTTGTTTATAGACGGCTTAATTCTTCTGTACGTGTCTATTGAAGCAAATGTGAAATACTTTTATTTTAATGTTAACGAGCGGTAAACTATTTACCATTGACAGCTTGTAGGAAAACTGATAAATATCAGACCTTGACAGATTCTTTTATTCTTACATTTTTATTACCTTTAATCTCTTTATTTTTTTTTTTTTTTCTTCCTGTAATTTCTGTATTTGTTTTGTCTTTTTTTTGTTTTTTCATTGGCTCATTTTCTTTCATTGATTCTGAAACTCTACAACTCATTGCAAACAAATTAAATCTTGGAGGAATCAGAATACATATAATATTAATATATATACATATATATATATATACATATTCATATATATATATATACATATATATATATATATATATATATATATATATATATATATATATATATATACACATAAATATACATATATATAGACATATACATATATAATTTTTTTCATTATGCTTTTAAATACAAAACGGTTAACAATGTTGTGTGCATTCATTAGAACATGAAAAAATTACCCATTATGGAATTTTTTCTTTTGTGTTATAATGTCATGGTGACGCGTGTATTAAATCACGAAAAAACTGTTCGTTTACAGGCATTTCAGTACATTACTACAGAATTAATAAGTTTATTCTGTTCAGTGCCGCTTTAATTTTTTTAATATAAATGTGTATTTGACGTATAACGAACACACACACACACACACATATATATATATATATATTTCGGAGATACATTCTCCCAAAGTCTATTAGTAATTTGGCATATAATGTTGGTCCATGCATAATGAATAATTACGTCAAAGGAAAACAACGCATATCTTTATATAAATACTTATACTAATGAACAACATATAGTTTCACTTGCACCCCTGAAGATGATCTTGGAAGAAGATCGAAAGTACTTGGGAAATGAAAATAAAAGAAATTTAAACAGCTATAGCACGGAAGGGTATTCGTGAGTATGAACGGATTTTATTAAAAATTAGCAGACATAATGTCTGTAATTTATTCAATCAGACATGTCTAAAAGAGAAATCGCTGCCTAAATACACACACACACACACACACACACACACACACACACATATATATATATATATATATATATATATATATATATATATATATATATTCCTTCCTTAACTAAATTTTCTATGCCTGATGATGACTGGACGTATAGTCAAAATTATTTGCATATTTAAAAAGAATAATACAGTTTTAAAAAAATCCACAATAACAAGGATCATAAAATCCATTAATGTTAATGCATTTTTAAAATTTAGTTAGCGAATGGATTTCGCCATTTTATATCATTAACAATAATAATTTACTTTTTGTGTGAATGATTCATTGTAATATAAATTGAGCTGCACCACATATTTGATTTAAAAGAACTGATCCGACGTGCAAGGCTTTGGGATGACAACTGAGTCATTTTTGAACGATATATTTCATGCCACGTTGACTGTTAAACGCCAAAAAAAAAAAAAGAAAATTAAATTGCGATATTAGTAAAAAACTTGGCGTTGCGACTGCACGCTCTACAAGTTTGTATCCTTTATAAATAACATAATAAAAAATATTTGGATTCGCATTATATTTTTTCGTCTACTGAGGGATGATTGAATCTTTGGTCATCACGCAAACACTTCGTGATTTGCACCCACATCCTCTTGCGTATCCGGTTAAGGACAAAGCGAACACACGTGGCGATTTTCGGGAACAGCAAAAATCTTTTAAAAAGTTTTCAGTTTCCCGTCTGACCAATGGCAGATGCCTGTTTCCAAATGGACTGCCTATCGAAATAAAGATGATAGCAAAGGCTGTCGACTAGAGACTGAAAGGACTACAACGAAACTGAATCGACCAATAAACGCCTGCACAAGATTCTGTGTACCCACGGTCATTCTGAAATAAAAGGAATCCATGGAAATTGCCGGCTGATAAAATATTGTTTTCACATTAGAACTCTCGCTTCGGCGAATTAGAACTCTGCGTGGAGATATCATCAACACAACTGACCCATCAGAGACAGTTAGGTTGATTTCTTGGCTTGATCTTTTTATATATATCTGTATTCGCTCTTACCTTCTGTTATTTCATGATCTCTTTCCCGTTTGTTAAACGAACTTTTCTTTTTTTAAGTGTTTCTGTATTTTTAAATAAATGTTTTATTTTGAAATCCATCGTCTTGCGTCAGTTTTTCGCTGACTCCCTTGTGTCGCTTGCATCATTGAGTGAAGACCGAGAAAGGATCCCACGTTTTCCTTTTTTAACCCGTGGTTCACATATATGCTACAAGTTCGTAATAATATATATGTATATATATATATATATATATATATATATATATTGTGACGAATGCTGATAACCTAAACACGCATATATTAAGGTTAATCTCCGCCTGACAACAGAAGAGATTGCGTGGGCGTCTCGAGACATTTTGGGAAGGCAAGTCATGAGGTTGACTGACCCAATTACCTGTAGCAACAGACGTCTAGACATAAGCTAGTCAGGGGAATGACGTAAGGTCGTGAAGCAGCAGGAACTGGAATTCGCGCCAAAATGCAGGACACGTGGGAAATAGAAAATTATTTGGAAGTCAGTTGCTGTCTTGTCCTCTAAGGAGCAAGACTCGAAATCGAAGCGCTGATAACTTATGAACTGAAAGATGAGACTCATTTGGATAATGATGGAACTTGTCCAATTCATCATAAGCAATTCCGGATAAGAAATATAAGGATGTATATTTCTGTTCGTCAACTCCAGATTGAAGAAGATAAATCGAGTATTTATCACAGAAGACGCAAGGAAATTTGCACGCTGAGAATACTGCCTGTGTCTGAAGACAAGAAAGAGAAATCAAGAGAGAAGAAGAAAGTATATATCTCTGTTGCAGCCGGGCCGTGTTTTAAATTGAATTTGTGTAAAGAAAAAGAAAGAAAAAAAAAAAAAAAGGAAACGTGAGAGAGAAAAGAAAGGACAATGAGTAAGAGAGAGAACTGAATATAAAGATAAGTAACTATATATTTTGGACCCGTGTTAGAAAGATACACATGCATCCACAAATTTATGTTCTCACAAACACCTTTCCACATGTCAAAATAGTAAAATATAAATCCTATCCCATCTCTTTTTTTTTTTTTTTTTTTTTTTTTGGTCATGCGTTGATTTCTGCATTCGTAGTTATTCATACTTATTTTTTTTATCCGTTCGGGTTCAGTCGAATCCACTTGAATTTGGGCATATTTTGGTATCCCAACATAAGTCTTGAGATTCTGGTCGTCGGATGTTTTACTCATGCATATATTTTTCTTTTATTTTAATATTTTGTGTATATGTATATATTAAAATTCTTATACCAAAATTCATTACGCCTTATCGTTCATCCTTGAATTGTGGTTTAGTACTCGTGTTGAAACCGAAGCGAACCTGGGGAAAGATCACTGTTCGATTATCCTAACTGAACAGTGTTCTTTAAAATATTTTGTTTAATAATTGTCCATTTGTCATGGTCTGGAAGAGATAGCCCATATCTCTCCACAGATGTGATAATGTGGTCGGCGTATGATCGCATTATAAACCATTCGTCGACTAGGGCATATGGCAAATGGAGCCTTCGTCCGGGATATATTTGCTTCGTAAAGAAATGGTGGCTCGTGCCATAAATTCTTTTTAACGCTTCTATTAAGATAACACTTACTGACCACAACAAGGTGAACGAAAAATAAAAAAAAAATAAAGTAGAAATGGAGAATATAGAGGAATTCCTGAAAGAGCCCACCCCGCGAAAACTAAGTCAATTGAAGAAAGATGAAGTATATGAGATAGGGGAAAGGCTGGAACTAAACGTCAGGAAGTCGATGAGAAAGTTGAGATAGTGAGGAAAATTACAGAACATATGGTGGATAATAATGTGTTCAAGTAGGAGACCCTGGAGGAATTCCTAAGGAAGGAAGCAAGTCTGTCAAACCCCCAGGTAGAACTGGAGAAAGCCAGAATATTAGCTACAGCTTAGATAGAGAAAGCACGTATTGAACAAGAAACAAGAATACGCGAGTTAGAAATCAGACAAGCAAATGAGGAGAAAAATTTCGAAATCACCAAGCAAGTGAACCTTCTGCCGAAGTTTGTAGAAAGGGAAGTGGAAGAATATATTGATCATTTCGAAAGGACGGCTACAAACCTGAAATGGCCAAAACAACATTGGGCGATATTATTGCAAACAGTATTGACTGGTAAAGCGCAAAAGGCATACGCAACGCTGTCGACCGAAGAATGCGCAGACTATGAAATAGTGAAGTCCACTATATTGAAGGCATATGAACTCGTGCCGGATGACTATAGACAAATGTTTAGGAGCTATAGAAAGTGATGTGGACCCAAAGTTGGGACCACGGAAGGAAAACACGAAACACAGATTAGAGGTAAGAAAGATATATTAAACAAAAAGGTTACAAAGATAGTGCAAGTGTAAGCGGAGCTTACTATGTGCTAGTGTCCAATATTGGTAGTCGTACGCGGCTGATACTACGGTATTAGAATACTCTCTCTCTCTCTCTCTTTCCTCCTCTTCCCCTAGAGTGTTATATCGCATACTTTATATAGTCCTGGAAGAGTCCCTGTTGTAGGTATGTTACGGTCTCACAACAGAAAGTTTGAGGGCCAAACATACGTAGAATATATCAGGCAGAAAGAGATATATTTAGACAGGTGGTGTCAAGCCAAGAAAGTAGTCGAGGATTATAATGGGCTGAAAAATTTCAGAACAACCAGTCTGAGGAAATGAGAACATACCTGAGTGACAGGAAAATAGAATCATACAATATTACCCATAAGAAAGCTTGTTCAAAGAATAGTACACCCATAATGCACCATTCAACACAGACACGTGGTAATGAAGAACCCAGGCGCACCGGAACGCAGATATGGGCAGGGAAACGAAACTTACCTGAGTGGGAAGCACCACAGATAGTGTGCTATACATGCAGAAAGCCGAGGCATATCGCTACAAATTGTAGGAGTCGTAAGGATATGATGAAAAATGCAAAACCCCAAGGGGCAGCAATCACGAAACAGATAGACAAGAGTTACTGGCCATACACTACAAACGGTCATATTTTTGACAGGAACGGAAAGAAGATGAAAACCCTGAGAGTGTTAAGGGACACAGGGGCCTCCCAGTCGTTAGCAAGGCGAAGTGATGTGCCGGCAAATATGAGATATAGGACAGGGAAGATAAGGTCAGTGATCGGCATAGGTAGGAAACCTAGGAAAACGGAGATATGGAAGATTAAACTAAAGTCTAAGTGGAAGGTTGGCGATATAGAAGTCGGGCTGCTAGATTCGCTTCCGATGAAAGGAATTTCGTTGTTGCTAGGAAATGATGTAAGCAGAAAACAGATAGATATTGAGCCTCGAAAATTATCAGTGCATCAGATGAAAAGAAGGCACTATAACTCGGAAGATGAAAAAAGGAAAATTTCAGCAGTGGTTACAAGGCAAACTGAGAAAAAGCTTCATAAAGAGAGGAAAAACAGAAGGGCGAGATCACTCACGATAAAAAGAATCGATAAAAGGAACGAAGTGGGGAAATATAACCGAATAGAGGTACGTCCCAAGCTGAACGTACACCGTGAAGAATTAAAAAAAGAGCAGAAAGCCGATGTGGAAGGAAAGAAGTTATATTCTCTAGTTGGGAGAAGAAGAGAAGAAGAAAACAAGTCAGGACGCTACTATATCAGAAATGGTATCCTAATGAGGCAGTGGAAACCGCAGGTCCATGCCGGAACAGATAAACATGATGGATATGAGCAAATAACAGTCCCTACAAGGTACCGTAAGGAGATATTATCTATAGCATATGATAGCCAGTGGGCTGGACATTTGGGCGTGGCGAAGACGCACGACAGAGTTACTAAATATTTCTACTGGCCGGAAATAAGGAGAGATGTAAGGTCATTTTGTCAGACATGTCAAACATGCCAAGTTGCAGGCAAACCTAACCAGGCGATTCCAAAAGCGCCCTTACAACCAATACCAGCCATGGAAGAACCATTCAACAGAATTATAGTTAACTGTGTTGGACCTTTACCGCGAACCAAAAATTCGTACAAACATCTGTTAACCACAATGTGCTCTTCAACTAGGTACCCTGAAGCAATTCCGTTAAGGAACATATCGGCAAAGAAGGTAGCGGACGCCTTAGTAAACTTTTTGCACGAGAATGGGCTTGCCTAAAATTATACAGATGGATCAGGGATCCAATTTTACATCAAGTTTATTCAAGGAGGTCACAAGTCATTTGGGAGTTACGCATGTGAAATCGAGTGCATATCATCCACAATCTCAGGGAGCGCTGGAGCGATTTCATGCTACCATGTTGAGGACGTACTGCATGGCGAATCAGGAAGATTGGGTTAAGGGAGTACCCTTTGTGTTATTCGCAATGCGTGAAGCAATTCAGGAATCCACAGGATTCAGCCCGTTCGAGTTAATTTTGGGGCATAGAGTGAGGGGACCACTCCAGTTATTACAAGAAAAATGGATGCTAGATCAGCCTAGGCGTGGCAATATGCATGAGTATGTAGCGAATATAAGACAGAAGTTTAAAGCTGCGCAAGAACTGGCAAGGAAGCATCTGCGAAATAATCAGATGAATATGAAGGAGAAATATGATTAAAAGGCAGTTGATAGGCAATTCAAAGAAGGTGATGAAGTACTCCTGATGTTACCTTCGAACGGTCGACCATTTGAGGCAAAGTACCAGGGGCCGTTCAAAGTACTGAAAAAACTGAACAGTTTGAATTATTTGGGTACATATGCCCAACCGAAGGAAAAGTAGCATGAAATGCCATGTAAATATGTTGAAAATGTTTTTGTAAAAGAGAGGAAGAACAAGCAATAATGCTAGTGAGTGAACAATAGAAAGAGAAGGTAGAAAGATACAGGGAAGGTAACCACTGGATAGAAAAGGACCAGCCTCTTAAATTAGAAAATTCCAGAATATTGGAAAATCTGGAGGAAAAGTTAGCTCATCTTACTGATGAGGTAAAGCAGAAACTGGGAACTTTAATAAATAAATATCAGGATATATTCTCGGATACACCCCAGCAGACCGATGCCGCAGTACATGATATAATATTGACGTCGGAACAACCGATCAAACAGCATCCATATCGCCTAAACCCCAGAAGGTTGAAAGTTATGAGAAAAGAAATTAAATATATGATGAAACACGGAATTATTGAGCCTAGTCAAAGTGAATGGGCATCACCCTGTGTGTTAATAGACAAGCCGAATGGCACTGTACGGTTTTTGTACGGACTATAGAAAAGTGAATAGCATCACGAAGGCAGATGCCTATCCAATCCCCAGGATGGAGGATTGTATCGACCGAATTGGTCAGGCTAAATATATCACCAAACTAGATATGCTGAAAGGATATTGGGCCGTATCGTTAACTGACAAACCGAAAATGATATCAGCGTTTGTAACCCCAGATGGAGCTTATCAATATCGAGTTATGCCCTTCGGTATGAGGAACTCGCAAGCTACGTTCGTACGTCTAATCAATAGATGTTTGTCCGATATTCCAGGAGTTGGTGCATATATCGATGATGTAATTCCCAGTGACACGGAGAGTGAACATCTGGATACGATGCAGAAGGTCTTTGAAAGATAAAAAAGAGGCAAAGTTGACAGTAAATCTTGGCAAGAGTGAATTTTGTAATGCCAAAGTGAAATATTTAGGACATGTAATAGGGCAAGGATGGATTAAACCAATAGAGGCAAAGACTGCAGCCATTGCAGACTTTCCTCGTCCCACTAATAGCCGAAGTCTAAAAAGTCTAGGGATGGCTAATTACTATAGGAGGTATTGTAGGAATTTGGCCAAAATTGCTACACCGCTAACAAATTTGTTAGGAAAGGGGCATAAGTTTGTGTGGACCACGGAATGTGAGGTCGCATTGGAAACCATTAAAAGTAAGTTAAAATCAAATCCAGTGTTAAAAGCCCCAGATTTCAACAAGCCGTTTCAGATGCATGTAGATACCAGCGATGTGGGAATCGGAGCTGTATTCATGTAAGAAGATGAAGATAAAGAGTTACATCCAGTAAGCTTCTATTCAAAGAAGTTGAATAAGTTCCAGAAGTCCTATTAAACAATAGAAAATGAAGCCTTGGCGTTAGTATTAGCTGTTCTCCATTTTGAGGTTTATATAACAATTCTCTTTCTTCTACAGTTGTATATACTGATCATAATCCATTAACGTTTATAGATCGCATGAGAAACAAAACCGAAAGTTACAAAGTTGAGTCTTATTTTGCAGGAGTTCAATCTTCAAATAAAGCATATTGCTGGAACAGCAAATAAAGTAGCGGATACCTTGTCGAGATATTGAAAACGAGTGTAGATGTTAACCATAATTTGAAAAGGATTAAATAAAGGAAGGTATACCTTAGTGGAACTGAGAAAATATAAAATATGTATGGTTTGATGGAGCTGAAAACTGAAAGAAAAAAATGTATGTTTTAATAATATTGAGTGTGTACGTTTTGACAAAGCTGCAAATTTTTTTTTGTTCTTGTATAATGTTATAAAGAGTGTGTACATATTGATATTGTAATCAGAAAAAAAAAAGGAAGACGACCCATTGTTTATTCAGATAATGTTGGGATATATTGTTGAAAAAAAAGAAGTTTTTTTTTCTTTTCTATTAGTTTACGTTGGGAGATGTGACGGATGCAGATAGCTCAAAACACGCATACCCGCATATATTAAGGTTAATCTCCGCCCGACAACAGAAGAGGTCACGTGGGAGTCTCGAGACATTTTGGGAAGGCACATCAAGAGGTTAACTGACCCAGTTACCCGTAGCAACAGACGTCTAGACAGAAGCTAGACAGGGGACTGACGTAAGGTCATGAAGCAACAGGAACTGGAATTCGCGCCAAAATGCAGGACTAATGGGGATTAGAAAATTACTTGGAAGTCAGTTATTGTCTTGTCTTTGAAGGAGCAAGACTCGAAATCGAAGCGCTGATAACTTATGGAAGAAAAGATGAGACTCATTTGGATAATGATGGAACTTGCCGATTCATCCCAAGCAACGCTGAGAATACAACCTGCGTTTGAAGAAATAAAAGAGAAACCAGAGAGAGGAAGAAAGTGTATATCCCTGTTGCAGTTTTAACCGTATTTGAGGCTGAACTGTATACAGAAGAAGAAAGAAAGAAAAAAAAAACCAGAGAGAGGAAGAATGTGTATATCTCTGTTACAGCCGGACCGGGTGTGAAATTGGATTTGTGCAAAGAAAAAAAAAAGAAAAAAAAAAAGAAAGAAAAGAGGAAACGTGAGAGAGAAAAGAAAGGACAATGAGAAAAAGAGAGAACTGAATATAAAAATAAGTAACTATATGTTTTGGACCCGTGTTAGAAAGATACACATGCATCCATAAATATTATGTTCTCACAAACACCTTTCCACATGTCAAAATAGAAATATGTAAATCCTATCCCATGTCTTTTGATTTCTGCATTCGTAGTTATTCATCCTTTTTTTTTTATCCGTTCGGGTTCAGTCGAATCCAATTGGATTTGGACATATTTTGGTATCCCAACATAAGTCATGAGATTCTGGTCGTCGGATGTTTTACTCATGCATATATTTTTCTTTTACTTTAATATTTTGTGTATATGTACATATTAAAATTCTTATACCAAAATTCATTACGCCTTATCGTTCATCCTTGAATTGTGGATTAGTACTCGTGTTGAAACCGAAGCGAACCTAGGAAAAGATTACTGTTCGATTATCCTAACTGAACAGTGTTCTTTAAAATATTTTGTATAATAATTGTCCATTTTGTCATGGTCTGGAAGAGATAGCCCGTATCTCTCCACAGATGTGATAATGTGGTCGGCGTATGATCGCATCATAAACTATTCGTCGACTAGGGCATATGAATATATATATATATATATATATATATATATATATATATATATATATATTGAAGTTATAAACCTGTAAAAAAAAAATTTATATATATATCAACCAATATGAAGTCTCAAATCACAAAAAAAATCCATGACGATAGTCAACCGTTTTTTAAACAATATATATATATATATATATATATATATATATATATATATATATATATATATATATATATATATATATATATATATATATATATATATATATATATATATATATATATATATATATATATATATATATATATATATATATATATATACATATATACATGTACATACTCATATCATGCACACACACACACACACACATATATATATATATATATATATATATATATATATATATATATATATATATACATGGATATATGTAATCCATTGAGGCCTATAATAGCACGCCCAAATTGTGAGACACCATATAAGCATTTTTCTAGACATCTTATTGAAACCTCTTATCAAATATTAAGGGTTTTATTTCAGATGATCTAGATTTTCTGAATCATCTTCCTAACGAGATAAACCATAATATTTACATAGTCTCTATGGATGTTATGAATTTACATAGCAACATCTTACATGATTACGGAATAGAGGCTATAAAATAATGGCGAGAGACGTTTCGCCATGATCTACCAAACCGTATCAAAGGAAAGTTTATAATAGAAAGCCTAGAATTCATCTTAAAATAAAATTATTTCAAGTTCAAGGAAATACCCTACCGACAAAAAACCAGGAATAGCCAAAGGGGCAAAGTTTGCACCAAAAAACATACCAACCTAATCATGAGATGCCATGAACTAAAAATTAATGACAGAACCTCGCAAATCTAAGGAATCACTTCATTTGAAACATAAAAGACAAATGGAAACGATATCTAGATGTTTTTTTTTTTTTTTATTCTGTAGAATGAAAGTCTGTATAAACTAAACTATAATTTAAAACATGCATTAATAATATAAATGCTAGCATAATATTCACTAAGGAGCAACAGCAACAAAAAAAACTTCCCTTTGTAGACATATTAATAACAAAAAACAACCACTAAACTAGAAACTGCCATATACTTTAAACCGATTGACCCTCGATAACATCTGCTTTTACATCTTCCCACCGAAACACACATTCCACTCAATCTATCAAGCGATTATGCACAATAGTTTCAAATACAATCACAAGCGACCACAGAATAGAAGAGATGAAAAAATACTCAAGAGAAAATAACCAATAGTATTGAAAAAGGAAAACAAATTAAAATCTACACACTCCGAAAAACAAAAGGACAAAAAAAGAGAACAAATGGTCATCACATATATCTCAAATTTCAACCCAAAGAACACAGAAATCTACACACACACACACACACACAAACATACAACTGAATTTAGCAAGGCTACTAAAGGATAAAATACAAATATATGAAAAGCCAATTAAAAAAATATCCAATCATAAAGAGGAAACGACAACATAAATCACTAAAAAAAAATACTGACCAGTTCAAAACTGCAGAACACATTTCAAGACGCTCAGGTGAAAAAATTCAACCAAACACTTTGCGGAGTATGTAACTCCGACAGATCAAAATTTAAAATTAAAAATGAATTCTCGTGCCATTCAGAGAATTTAATATACATAATTACATGCAAAGATTGCCACGAGAATTACATTGGTCAAACCGGCTAGTCACTCCGACAAAGGATGACTGTTCATCACCAACAAATCACAGACCCCCACATCAGAGAAATACCCATTAGCCAACATATAGAGAAATACGGAGGACAAAATCTGCCAAATTTTAAGATCTTCCCATTCTAACAGTGCGACTACAGAATCACTGAACAAAGGCGTATTAATAAAGAAATATTTTTCATCCACAAATGCAAACCCATATTTAATTCCTTGCATAAATAGATTCTATCAAATTCCTCTTACCATAAACGACATATATAACCAGTTGCGACCCTTTGATTTTCATTTTTTTTCCTAGATACAAAAGATAAGCATGGACAAATGGAGAGAGAAAACAGTTAAAAAACTTTTTGAAAAGCGAAACGAAATTGGTTAAAGTAAAAAAAAGTTACAAGAAAAGGAAAACAACAAAATATTTTTCTAAGATAAAAACACTGAAAATTCAATTGTAAGTAACAAAGTCTAAAGATTTCTCTGGAAAAATTCCTGTATTATAAATAAATATCACTATATTCAGTATTAGGTGCCTCTTTTTCCAATTCCCATTTTAATCAATACAATAAGTTTCGTACAGTATATTTGTAACACAAATATGTTTTTTAAACACACACACACACACACACACACACACACACACACACACACACACACACACACACACACACACACATACCATTCCACCACCATTACTACAAGCACTTCTATCATTTTACTATATTATTTCCTGCTACATACATATATATATATATATATATATATATATATATATATATATATATATATATATATATATATCAAGTATCTAGTACAGTTCAATTTAAATTACATGAAGATTTTTTTTGTATGAATAATTCATGTAATATACATATATACATATATATATATATATATATATATATATATATATATATATATATATATACATGTTTCATTAAAAAATGACAGACAAGTTACTACGGTTAAGCTATTTATTTAATTTTTCTTATGTTCGAACAAGAGCTTTCTTTTCTGGATAAAAGTGTGTAAAAACTGTCCAAATATTTTAGAGTTCCGAGTGCTTTGGGCCATAACTTTAGTCATCATTAATTGAGTGTGTGCATTATGTGTGTGCTTTTAGTGTGTTGGAAGGATGATTCAATTTCCGAATACAGTTGCTTTACATAGTGGCCTTGTTCGTAGTCAATATTGTTAAGAGTTGTTTTTTTCTTTTTCTTATTAAAGCTTCCATTATTTTTAATCTTTTTTTACAGGTGGATGAAGTTATTGTATTTGTGTTTTCTACTCGTATGTTTCCATTGCTGCATTAGTCCAAACTTCCTACCGCACCACAATTGTCATTACCGCATCAGTCCACAATTATACTTCCTTCCCCCTCAGAAAAATTAATACCACCACATAAATACCAATATGTATTACAAATTGTAATTTCTACCATGTACATAAGCGCAATCGCCAAAAACAAATAAATAATCGGCTTTGAAATAATAACAAACAGCATTAAAAAACTTACAAAACGGCATCAAAATTTAAAGAAATAATAACAAGTTTACCTACCATAAGCTTACACCATACGTGATAAAAACACACACGGTAGAAGGTGTGTGAACATGCGTGTATACGTACATATATAAATCTGTGAGAAAACATTCTGCGAACAAAATAGACAAACGATCTGCGCGTTGCCACTGCTAATTTGAAAAAAAGTTCGCCACACAATTCAACATACAGCGACCAATTACGTACGTATGCACGCAACGACACATGGATACGCATATAAGCCCAGTGCGAACACTGTTCATATATGGTTATGTTTGTGTGAGCTGCAATGCATGAACGTGCGTGTATGTATGTCTCCATACGTATGAGTGGCGTTCCGACGACAATATTTCTTCCACTTCCATAAAACAGAAATATACGCAACGATAAATATATACAAATATAATAAAGTGTAGATTATAAAAAAAGTGTTATTTTTAGAGAACATTTATTTTTCAAATACAATTACAAGGAGAGAGATATCTCCAAATGTCGGTGTTTTCTTACATTTTCTGAATATCCGTGTAACATCGTACTGAAACATTGTAATATTTTTTACAATTTGTTCATCATTTCTATGAGTTCGGCCATATTTTTGCATCACAATATATATATATATATACATATATATATATGTGTGTGTGAGTGTGTATGTGTGTGCGTGTGTATCATCTGTAAAAAATAGCAAGTTGAATGTAGTTGAATAAAAACGCTGTTATTAACTTTGATCAATTTCTGTATACAATAGATCTGGATGTACGAATGCTTATAGAATAATAAAGCCTATCGATATGCGTGGAATACTATATTCTAACGGATGGCAAAGTGAATAGATTCTTTAACAAAAATTGGTTAAAAGCTATTTCAAGAAATTATTATTGTTTTAAAATGTTTAAATTTCACGATACTGGGACAATATCACGATTTAAAATATTTTATAAATTGAAGATTATCTTTTGGCCTGTGACGTATTAATTCGATTGTGATGTTGTGAAGTATATATACGTAACTGAAAAACATGAAATATTTTCTCTACACGCTGAAAATGTGGCTCCTGAAAATCTAATAAATAAAATAGTGTACCTGAAAAACAGACGACAAATCTTTCCGGTTTGCTGAAGATTTTCCTGTACGATTTTTTCTTTTTTTGACTAATACAATAATTAATGAAAATATAATTTAAATTCGTAAGAATTCCAATCAAATTGTGTATTTGCACTTAAGTACAAGATGCATTCGATTCTTGTGCTCTTTGCAAAGAACGAAATGCTAAGAAGGAAATGTCTGTTTATAGTTTCAATATATGTCTGTCTTCCATTTATTAAATATAGAAATATTCAACTCTTCTTCAAGAAATGGTGATTTGAATGGCTTGTAACCACGTTTTGTAAAAAAGTCCACAACAAATACTCGATCTTTATAACTTAAAAGAATCCACTCCATGAAGACGTGACTGATGTGTATTGCATCGAAGAATTTCTGACCTCCTCGGATGATCTTTCCTTCATTTCCTTCTCCGTCCATGATCATCACTGCTTTTTTTCGTGGCATCAAATCGATGAGGTCATCTAAAAGGACAGTCGTTTTGTTTTTTTCTTTGTATACATTCCCCTGAAATTCCTTCCAAGACTTAATATTTTTGACGATTCTGCTTCGTCCAAGATTTAATTTGTTTGCAATGAGTTGTAGAGTTTCATATTTATCTGATAAAGGTTTTGTGACGAGCTTGATATATTTCTCGAAATTATTAATAACAACTGATTGGTGAAATTTTTCAATGTTAATGTCCATCGCTTCTACAGCAAGTGTCGGTATTTTGAGATTAGCAGCCAAAAGTGAAAACATGCCCATGTTGGCTCCAATATCGACGAACCCATAATCAGGATTTTCAACAAGGATATTCTGGAGATATTCCATATTTAGTCTTTCCCATCTTTTCGACCTTCTTATAGAATTCGTGATATATTCTTGTGGGTCGTCGTGAACACATATTAGTATATCCCCGAGTATTGTTAAAAACGGAATGCATTCCAAAGGAAGCTTGATTTGTTGGCTGAAGTTGAAGACATAATCTTTGACAGTGGCCGATGGCGAATAGGATTTTTTATTCTCCGATGACCTGAAGTAACGTTTTGTTGTAACCTTCTTTAGATTGAAATGTGAAAATATTAAAATTATGCAGCCGACGATGGTGATCAGGATAGACCGGAAAATGTTTCTCATTTTGTGAAGATTAGAGATAAGAAAATCTTTTACAGACAGTACAAATCCTAAGTTGTGTTTTTTTTATTTTACTATTTCCTTTGTTATAGACGGCTTAATTCTTCTGTACGTGTCTATTGAAGCAAATGTGAAATACTTTTATTTTAATGTTAACGAGCGGTAAACTATTTACCATTGACAGCTTGTAGGAAAACTGATAAATATCAGACCTTGACAGATTCTTTTATTCTTACATTTTTATTACCTTTAATCTCTTTTTTTTTTTTTTTTCTTCCTGTAATTTCTGTATTTGTTTTTGTCTTTTTTTGTGTTTTTCATTGGCTCATTTTCTTTCATTGATTCTATGAAACTCTACAACTCATTGCAAACAAATTAAATCTTGGAGGAATCAGAATACATATAATATTAATATATATACATATATATATATACATATTCATATATATATATATATACATATATATATATATATATATATATATATATATATATATATATATATATATATATATAAATATACATATATATAGACATATACATATATAATTTTTTTCATTATGCTTTTAAATACAAAACGGTTAACAATGTTGTGTGCATTCATTAGAACATGAAAAAATTACCCATTATGGAATTTTTTCTTTTGTGTTATAATGTCATGGTGACGCGTGTATTAAATCACGAAAAAACTGTTCGTTTACAGGCATTTCAGTACATTACTGCAGAATTAATAAGTTTATTCTGTTCAGTGCCGGCTTTAATTTTTTTTAATATAAATGTGTATTTGACGTATAACGAACACACACACACACACACACACATATATATATATATATTTCGGAGATACATTCTCCCAAAGTCTATTTAATTTGGCATATAATGTTGGTCCATGCATAATGAATAATTACGTCAAAGGAAAACAACGCATATCTTTATATAAATACTTATACTAATGAACAACATATAGTTTCACTTGCACCCCTGAAGATGATCTTGGAAGAAGATCGAAAGTACTTGGGAAATGAAAATAAAAGAAATTTAAACAGCTATAGCACGGAAGGGTATTCGTGAGTATGAACGGATTTTATTAAAAATTAGCAGACATAATGTCTGTAATTTATTCAATCAGACATGTCAAAAAAGAGAATTCGCTGCTAAATACACACACACACACACACACACACACACACATATATATATATATATATATATATATATATATATATATATATTCCTTCCTTAACTAAATTTTCTATGCCTGATGATGACTGGACGTATAGTCAAAATTATTTGCATATTTAAAGAATAATACAGTTTTTAAAAAAATCCACAATAACAAGGATCATAAAATCCATTAATGTTAATGCATTTTTAAAATTTAGTTAGCGAATGGATTTCGCCATTTTATATCATTAACAATAATAATTTACTTTTTGTGTGAATGATTCATTGTAATATAAATTGAGCTGCACCACATATTTGATTTAAAAGAACTGATCCGACGTGCAAGGCTTTGGGATGACAACTGAGTCATTTTTGAACGATATATTTCATGCCACGTTGACTGTTAAACGCCAACAAAAAAAAAAAGAAAATTAAATTGCGATATTAGTAAAAAACTTGGCGTTGCGACTGCACGCTCTACAAGTTTGTATCCTTTATAAATAACATAATAAAAAATATTTGGATTCGCATTATATTTTTTCGTCTACTGAGGATGATTGAATGCAGTTTGTTAAACGAACTTTTCTTTTTTTAAGTGTTTCTGGATTTTTAAATAAATGTTTTATTTGGAAGTCAGTTGCTGTCTTGTCTTTGAAGGAGCAAGATTCGATAACCAAAAATCGAATCGTCTGATAACTTATGAACGGAAAGATGAGACTCATTTTGGTAATGATGGAACTTGTCCGATTCATCAAAATAACAACTCCGGATAAGAAATATAAGGATGTATATTTCTGTTCGTCAACTCAAATTGAAGAAGATAAATCTGAAAGATTATTTATCAGACGCAAGGAATTTTGCACGCTGAGAATACATGCCTGTTGTTTGAAGAAATCAAGAAGAGAAAAGAAAGTATATATCTCTGTTGCAGCCTGACCGTGTTTGAAGCTGAACTGTGTGAAGAAAGAAAGAAAAAAAGAAAACAAGAGAGAAGAAGAAAGTATATATCTCTGTTGCAGCTGGACCGTGTTTGAAATTGAATTTGTGTAAAAAAAAAAAAAAAAAAAAAGAGGAAACGTGAGAGAGAAAAGAAAGGACAATGAGTAAGAGAGAGAACTGAATATAAAGATAAGTAACTATATATTTTGGACCCGTGTTAGAAAGATACACATGCATCCATAAATTTTTGTTCTCACAAACACCTTTCCACATGTCAAAAAGTAATATATAAAAATCCTATCCCATTTTTTTTTTTTTTTTTGGTTATGCGTTGATTTCTGCATTCGTAGTTATTCATACTTTTTTTTTTTATCCGTTCGGGTTAAGTCGAATCCACTTGGATTTGGGCATATTTTGGTATCCCAACATAAGTCTTGAGGTTCTGGTCGTCGGATGCTTTTTACTCATGCTTATATTTGTCTTTTATTGTAATATCTTGTGTATATATAGATATTAAAATTTTTATACCAAAATTTATTACGCCTCATCGTGCATCCTTGAATTGTGGATCGGTATATGTGTTGAAACCGAAGCGAACCTGGGAAAAGACTACTGTTTGATTATCTCAATCGAACAGTGTTCTTTAAAATATTTTGTTTACTAATTGTCCATTTGTCATGATCTGGGAGAGATAGCCCGTATCTCTCCATAGACGTGATAACGTATATATCTCCTGGTCGGCGTATGATTGCGTTATAAATTATTCGACGAGTAGGGCATATGACAAAAATGGGGCCTTCGTCCGGGATATATTTGCTTCGTAAACAAGTGGGGGCCATAAATTCTTTTTAACGCTTCTATTAAGTTAACACTTACTGACCACAACAAGGTGAACGAAAAAAAAAAAAAAAATAAAGTAGAAATGGAGAATGTAGAGGAATTCCTGAAAGAGCCCACCCCGAAAAAAACTAAGTCAATTGAAGAAAGATGAAGCATATGAGATAGGGGAAAGGCTGGAACTAAACGTCAGGAAGTCGATGAGAAAAATTGAGATAGTGAGGAAAATTACAGAACATATGGTGGATAATAATGTGTTCGAGGAGGAGACCCTGGAGGAATTCCTAAGGGAGGAAGCAGGTCTGTCGAACGCCCAGGTAGAACTGGAGAAAGCCAGAATATTAGCTAAAGCTGAGATAGAGAAAGCACGTATTGAACAAGAAACAAGAATACGAATAGACAAGCAAATTAGAAAATCGGAAATCACCAACAACCTTCTGCCGAAGTTGTAGAAAAAGTGGAAGAATATATTGAGGAGGAAAAATTTTACAAAATCACCAAAACAGCATTGGGCGATAAGTGCAAACAGACCTTCTGCCGAAGTTTGTAGAAAGGGAAGTGGAAAATACCCAGGAGTACAAAAGATTGATCATTTCGAAAGGACTGGAAAAAGGGCAGCTGAGCTAGGAGCAAACATTGGCGATAGACGTTATTCAAAGGTTTGCGATATGGCGGCTGCTGTGTCGGCAAGATGCAGCCACCATCATCCGTCAGTTAAACAGTATCAACATTGCCCCCCAACGGAGATATTAACCGACAATGGCACCGCCCGCATTCACCAGTCCATGTTTGCACCTACGGTTCCGCTGCGCCCACGTACCGAGTGGAAATGGGATCATCGAGCGGAACCACAGGAAATTGACCATCGCAGCCAGGACGCTGTCGACACTTAAAAAATGGTGACCGCGAGGGATAAAAACGGCGAAGCCGACACGATACCACGTCAAGTGAAGGGCATAGATGAACTCGTGCCCAAACTGAAAAAGGTTGAAGAAAGGAGATGTCGTCTGGAAAGACCCGCGCAAAGTGTACGACGAAATACGGAACCGGACGCGTATAGAAGGTGGTGCGGGTCGACGGTACGTACGTCGACCTGCGGCCGGCGATGCAGAACCGCTGGACGACGAGAGCGAATCGGAATCTGAGATATCGCTCTGGTTTACGCCAGCTCAGCTCCATGGGGCAGATACCAGTAGCCTTCCAAAGGACGCGGTGTTTTTTGACCCTCAGACCGCGGACGGGAGTTGTTCAACGATGAGGCTCGCAGCGTACCTCTTCGAAGAAGCACCCGGCGAAAGCGATCGCCGCCTCCCTGCCAACTCTGTGATCATGAGATCAGTGGGGAGTGTGGGGAAAATAGAAATGGTTTACCTCCCAAACGCCCTCGCGTCTGTCTGTTAGTGGGTTGAGAAAAGAAAGAAAGGGTCAAGATGGCGTCCGAGGATTTTTAATATTGGGTCTCTGCAAACAAGGTCGTGTTACACGCATGCTAATGAGGTGTATTTTCCAAAAACAGGTCGCGGAGGAATGTTTTACGTTGAGAACATACCTACGGAAAAGTGACTTACACTCCAGGGAAAATAGAATCATGTTAGCCTATAGACAAAAGTTTAGTCTATAGAAAGTTTGAGGCCAAACATATGTAGAATATATCAGACAGAAGGATATTTTAGCAGCCAAAAACGAAAAATATTATACTGGCGGAGGATTTTCAGAACAACCTGTCTGAGGAAATGAGAACATACCTGAGTGACAGGAAAATAGAATCAAAGCATTCGTTCAAAGAATAGTACACCCATAATGTGCCATTCAACACAGACACGTGGTAATGAAGAAGCCAGGCGCACCGGAACGCAGATATGGGCAGAGAAATGAAACTTACCTGAGCGTGCTATACATGCAGAAATCCGGGGCATATTGCTACAAATTGTAGGAGTCGTAAGGATATGATGGAAAATGCAAAACCCCAAGGGGCAGCAATCACGAAGCAGATAGACAAGAGTTACTGGCCATACACTGCAAACGGTCAGATTTTTGACAGGAACGGAAAGGAGATGAAAACCCTAAGAGTGTTAAGGGACACAGGGGCTTCCCAGTCGTTAGCAAGGCGAAGTGATGTGCCGGAAAATATGAGATATAGGACGGGGAAGATAAAGACAGTGATCTGCATTGGTGGTAAACCTATGAAAATGGAGATATAGAAGATTAAACTAAAGTCTAAATGGAAAGCCGGCGACATAGAAGTCGGGCTGATAGATTCACTTCCGATGAAGGGAATTTCGTTGTTGTTAGGAAATGATGCAGGCAGAAAACAGATAGATATTGAGTCTCGAAAAACATCAGCGCATCAGGTGAAAAGAAGGCACTATAACTCGGAAGATGAAAAAAGGAAAATTTCAGCAGTGGTTACAAGGCAAACTGAGAAAAATCTTCATGAAGAGTGGAAAAACAGAAGGGCGAGATCACTCACGATAAAAAGAATCGATAAAAGGAACAAAGTGGGGAAATATAACCGAATAGAGATACGTCCCAAGGTGAACGTACCCCGTGAAGAATTAAAACAAGAACAGGAAGCCAATGTGGAAGTAAAGAAGCTATATTCTCTAGTTGGGAGAAGTAGAGAAAAAGAAAACAAGTCAGGACACTACTATATCAGAAATGGTATCCTAATGAGGCGGTGGAAACCGCAGGTCCATGCCAGAACAGATAAATATGATGGATATGAGCAAATAATAGTCCCTACAAGGTACCGTAAGGAGATATTATCTATAGCGCATGATAGCCAATGGGCTGGACATTTGGGTGTAGCGAAGACGCACGACAGAGTTACTAAATATTTCTACTGGCCGGGAATAAGGAGAGATGTAAGGTCATTTTGTTGGACATGTCAAACATGCCAAGTTGCGGGCAAACCTAACCAGGCGATTCCAAAAGCGCCCTTGCAACCAATACCAGCCATGGAAGAACCATTCAACAGAATTATAGTTGATTGTGTTGGACCTTTACCGTGGACCAAAAATTCGTACAAATATCTGTTGACCATAATGTACTCTTCAACTAGGTACCCTGAAGCAATTCCGTTAAGGAACATATTGGCAAAGAAGGTAAACGCCTTAGTAAACTTTTTCATGAGAATGGGCTTGCCTAAAATTACACAGATGGATGAGGGATTCAATATTACATCAACTTTATTCAAGGAGGTCACAAGTCAATTAGGAGTTACGCATGTGAAATCGAGTGCATATCATCTGCAGTCTCAGGGAGCACTGGAGCGATTTCATGCTACGTTAAAGACCATGTTAAGGATGTACTGCATGGAGAATCAGGAAGATTGGGATAAGGGAGTACCCTTTGTGTTATTTGCAATGCATGAAGTAATTCAGGAATCCACAGGATTCAGCCCGTTCGAGTTAATTTTTGGACATAGAGTGAGGGGACCACTCAACTTATTACAAGAAAAATGGATGGTTGATCAGCCTAGGCATGGCAATATGCATGAGTATGTAGCGATTATGAGACAGAAGTTGAAAGCTGCGCAAGAACTGGCAAGGAAGCATCTGCGAAATAATCAGATGAATATGAAGGAGAAATATGATAGAAAGGCCGTTGATAGGCAATTCAAAGAAGGTGATGAAGTACTCCTGATGCTACCTTCGAACGGTCGACCATTTGAGGCAAAATACCAGGAGCCGTTCAAAGTACTGAAAAAACTGAATAGTTTGAATTATTTTGGGTACATATGCACAGCCGAAGGAAAAGTAGAATGAAATGCCATGTAAATATGCTGAGAATGTTTTGTAAAAGAGAGGAAGAACAAGCAATAATGCTAGTGAGTGAACAAGAGAAAGAGAAGGTAGAAAGATACAGGGAAGATAACCACTGGATAGAAATGAACCAGCCTCTTAAATTGGAAAATTCCAGAATATTGGAAAATCTGGAGGAAAAGTTGGCTCATCTTACTGATGAGGTAAAGCAGAAACTGGGAACTTTAATAAATAAATATCGGGATATATTCTCGGATACACCCCAGCAGGCCGATGCCGCAGTACATGATATAATATTGACGTCGGAACAACCGATCAAACAGCATTCATATCGTCTGAACCCCAGAAGGTTAAAAGTTATGAGAAAAGAAATTAAATATATGATGGAACACGGAATTATTGAGCCTAGTCAAAGTGAATGGGCATCACCCTGTGTGTTAGTAGACAAGCCGGATGGCACTGTACGGTTTTGTACGGACTATAGAAAAGTGAATAGCATCACGAAGGCAGATGCCTATCCAATCCCCAGGATGGAGGATTGTATCGACCGGATTGGTCAGGCCAAATATATCACCAAGCTAGATATGCTAAAAGGATATTGGGCCGTACCGTTAACTGACAAAGCGAAAACGATATCAGCGTTTGTAACCCCAGATAGAGCTTATCAATATCGAGTTATGCCCTTTGGTATGAGGAACTCGCAAGCTACGTTCGTGAGTCTAATGAATAGATGTTTGTCCGATATTCCAGGAGTTGATGCATATATCGATGATGTCGTAATGACACGGAGAGTGAGCATATGGATACGATACGGAAGGTCTTTGAAAGATTAAAAGAGGCAAAGGTGACAGTAAATCTTGGCAAGAGTGAATTTTGTAATGCCAAAGTGAATCATCTAGGACATGTGATAGGGCAAGGAAGGATTAAACCAATAGAGGCAAAGACTGCAGCCATCGTAAACTTTCCTCGTTCCACTAATAGCCGAAGTCTAAGAAGGTTCTTAGGGATGGCTAATTACTATAGGCGGTATTGTAGGAATTTGGCCGAAATCGCTACACCGCTTGTTAGGAAAGGAGCATAAGTTTGTGTGGACCACGGAATGTGAGGTCGCATTGGAAACCATTAAAAGTAAGTTAAAATCAAATCCAGTGTTAAAGGCCCCAGATTTCAACAAGCCGTTTCAGATGCATGTAGATGCCAGCGATGTGGGAATCGGAGCTGTATTAATGCAAGAAGATGAAGATAAAGAGTTACATCCAGTAAGCTTCTATTCAAAGAAATTGAATAAGTTCCAGAAGTCCTATTCAACAATAGAAAAAGAAGCTGTTCTCCATTTTGAGGTTTATATAACCAATTCTCTTTCTCCTCCAGTTGTATATACTGATCATAATCCATTCACGTTTATAGATCGCATGATAAGCAAAAACCGAAGGTTACAAAGTTGGAGTTTTATATTGCAGGAGTTCAATCTTCAAATAAAGCATATTGCTGGAACAGCAAATAAAATAGCGGATACCTTGTCGAGATATTGAAAATGAGTGCAGATATTAACCATAATTAACCATAAACCAGGATTAAATAAAGGAAGGTATATCTTAGTGGAACTGAGAAAATATAAAATATGTATGTTTTGATGGAGCTGAAAACTGAAAGAAAAAAAATGCATATATTTTAATATATTTTATTAAAACTGGAAGAAAAAAAAATGCTTGTGTATATTTTGACAAAGCTTTAAATTTTTTGTTCTTGTGTATATTTGCAAAAAAAATGTTAATATAAAAAATTGATATTGTAATCAGAAAAAAAGAAAAAAAAATTGTTTGTTGGGATAATGTTGGGATATTTGTTGAAAAAAAAAAAAAAAGTTTTTTTTTTTTTTTTAGTTTACGTTGGGATATGTTACGAATGCAGATAGCCCAAAACACGCATATATTAAGGTTAATCTCCGTTTGACAACAGAAGAGGTCACGTGGGGAGTCTCGAGTCATTTTGGGGAATCAGGTCAAGAGGTTGACTGACCCAGTTACCCGTAGCAACAGACGTCTAGACAGAATCTAGACAGGGGACTGACGTAAGGTCGTGAAGCATCAGGAACTGGAATTCGCGCCAAAATGCAAGGACACGTGGGAATTAAAAAATTATTTGGAAGTCAGTTGCTGTCTTGTCTTTGAAGGAGCAAGACTCGAAATCGAAGCGCTGATATCTTATGAACGGAAAGATGAGACTCATTTTGGTAATGATGGAACTTGTCCGATTCATCATAAACAACTCCGGATAAGAAATATAAGGATATATATTTCTGTTCGTCAACTCAGATTGAAGAAGATAAATCGAGTTATTTATCACAGAAGACGCAAGGAAATTTGCACGCTGAGAATACAGCCCATGTTTTAATAAAGAAAAGAGAAATCAAGCAAGAAGAAAGTATATATATCTCTGTTGCAGCCGGACCGTGTTTGAAATTGAACTGTGTAAAGAAAAAGAAAAAAAAAGAAACAGAGAAGAAGAAAGTATATATCTCTGTTGCAGCCTGACCGTGTTTGAAATTGAATTTGTATAAAGAAAAGAAAGAAAGAAAATGAAAGAGAGAAAGGAAGAGAGAACTGAATATAAAGATAAGTAACTATATATTTTGGACCCGTGTTAGAAAGATACACATGCATCCATAAATTTTATGTTCTCACAAACACCTTTCCACATGTCAAAATAGTAATATATAAATCCTATCCCATCTTTTTTTTTTTTTGGGTTGAAACCTCTTATCGTTGATTTCTGCATTCGTAGTTATTCATACTTTTTTTTTTATCCATTCGGGTTAAGTTGAATCCACATGGATTTGGGCATATTTTGGTATCCCAACATAAGTCTTGAGGTTCTGGTCGTCAGATGCTTTACTCATGCTTATATTTTTCTTTTATTGCAATATCTTGTGTATATGTATATATTAAAATTCTTATACCAAAATTTATTACGCCTCATCATTCATCCTTGAATTGTGGATCGGTATATGTGTTGAAACCGAAGCGAACCTGGGAAAAGACTACTGTTTGATTATCTCAATCGAATAGTGTTCTTTAAAATATTTTGTTTACTAATTGTCCATTTCAAATTTTAAGATCTTCCCATTCTAACAGTGCGACTACAGAATCACTGAACAAAAGGCGTATTAATAAAAGAAATATTTTCATCCACAAATGCAAACCCATATTTAATTCCTTGCATAAATAGATTCTATCAAATTCCTCTTACCATAAACGACATATAACCAGTTGCGACCCTTTGATTTTTCATTTTTTTCCTAGATACAAAAGATAAGCATGGACAAATGGAGAGAGAAAACAGTTAAAAACTTTTTTGAAAAAAGAAACGAAATTGGTTAGTAAAAAAAAGTTACAAGAAAAGGAAAACAACAAAATATTTTTCTAAGATAAAAACACTGAAAATTCAATTATAAGTAACAAAGTTTAAAGATTTCTCTGTAAAATTCCTGTATTATAAATAAATATCACTATATTCAGTATTAAATTGCATTTTTCCAATTCCCATTTTAATCAATACAATAAGTTTCGTACAGTATATTTGTAACACAAATATGTTTTTAAACAAACACACACACACACACACACACACACACACACACACACACACATACCATTCCACCACCATTACTACAAGCACTTCTATCATTTTATATTATTTCTGCTACATACATATATATATATATATATATATATATATATATATATATATATATATATATATATATATATATATATATATCAAGTATCTGGTACAGTTCAATTTAAATTACATGAATGTTTTGTATGAATAATTCATGTAATATACATACATACATATATATATATATATATATATATATATATATATATATATATATATACATGTTTCATTAAAAATGACAGACAAGTTACTACGGTTAAGCTATTTATTTAATTTTTCTTATGTTCGAACAAGAGCTTTCTTTTCTGGATAAAGAGTGTGTAAAAACTGTCCAAATATTTTAGAGTTCCGAGTGCTTTGGGCCATAACTTTAGTCATCATAAAGGGTGATTTGATTTTTCAGCTTAATTGAGTGTGTGCATTATGTGTGTGCTTTAGTGTGTTGGAAGGATGATTCAATTTCCGAATACGGTTAGCACATAGTGGCCTTGTTCGTAGTCAATATTGTTAAGAGTTGTTTTTTTCTTTTTCTTATTAAAGCTTCCATTATTTTTAATCTTTTTTTACAGGTGGATGAAGTTATTGTATTTGTGTTTTCTACTCGTATGTTTCCATTGCTGCATTAGTCCAAACTTCCTACCGCACCACAATTGTCATTACCGCATCAGTCCACAATTATACTTCCTTCCCCCTCAAAAAAAAATTAATACCACCACATAAATACCAATATGTATTACAAATTGTAATTTCTACCATGTACATAAGCGCAATCGCCAAAAACAAATAAATAATCGGCTTTGAAATAATAACAAACAGCATTAAAAAACTTACAAAACGGCATCAAAATTTAAAGAAATAATAACAAGTTTACCTACCATAAGCTTACACCATACGTGATAAAAACACACACGGTAGAAGGTGTGTGAACATGCGTGTATACGTACATATATAAATCTGTGAGAAAACATTCTGCGAACAAAATAGACAAACGATCTGCGCGTTGCCACTGCTAATTTGAAAAAAGTTCGCCACACAATTCAACATACAGCGACCAATTACGTACGTATGCACGCAACGACACATGGATACGCATATAAGCCCAGTGCGAACACTGTTCATATATGGTTATGTTTGTGTGAGCTGCAATGCATGAACGTGCGTGTATGTATGTCTCCATACGTATGAGTGGCGTTCCGACGACAATATTTCTTCCACTTCCATAAAACAGAAATATACGCAACGATAAATATATACAAATATAATAAAAGTGTAGATTATATAAAAAAGTGTTATTTTAGAGAACATTTATTTTTCAAATACAATTACAAGGAGAGAGATCTCCAAATGTCGGTGTTTTCTTACATTTTCTGAATATCCGTGTAACATCGTACTGAAACATTGTAATATTTTTACAATTTGTTCATCATTTCTATGAGTTCAGCCATATTTTTGCATCACAATATATATATATATATATACATATATATATATGTGTGTGTGTGTTAGTGTATGTGTGTGCGTGTGTATCATCTGTAAAAAATAGCAAGTTGAATGTAGTTGAATAAAAACGCTGTTATTAACTTTGATCAATTTCTGTATACAATAGATCTGGATGTACGAATGCTTATAGAATAATAAAGCCTATCGATATGCGTGGAATACTATATTCTAACGGATGGCAAAGTGAATAGATTCTTTAACAAAAATTGGTTAAAAGCTATTTCAAGAAATTATTATTGTTTTTAAAATGTTTAAATTTCACGATACTGGGACAATATCACGATTTAAAATATTTTTTATAAATTGAAGATTATCTTTGGCCTGTGACGTATTAATTCGATTGTGATGTTGTGAAGTATATATACGTAACTGAAAAAACATGAAATATTTTTCTATACGCTGAAAATGTGGCTCTGAAAATCTAATAAATAAAATAGTGTACCTGAAAAACAGACGACAAATCTTTCCGGTTTGCTGAAGATTTTCCTGTACGATTTTTCTTTTTTGACTAATACAATAATTAATGAAATATAATTTAAATTCGTAAGAATTCCAATCAAATTTGTGTATTTGCACTTAAGTACAAGATGCATTCGATTCTTGTGCTCTTTGCAAAGAACGAAATGCTAAGAAGGAAATGTCTGTTTATAGTTTCCAATATATGTCTGTCTTCCATTTATTAAATATAGAAATATTCAACTCTTCTTCAAGAAATGGTGATTTGAATGGCTTGTAACACGTTTTGTAAAAAAGTCCACAACAAATACTCGATCTTTATAACTTAAAGAATCCACTCCATGAAGACGTGACTGATGTGTATTGCATCGAAGAATTTCTGACCTCCTCGGATGATCTTTCCTTCATTTCCTTCTCCGTCCATGATCATCACTGCTTTTTTTCGTGGCATCAAATCGATGAGGTCATCTAAAAGGACAGTCGTTTTTTTTTTTCTTTGTATACATTCCCCTGAAATTCCTTCCAAGACTTAATATTTTTGACGATTCTGCTTCGTCCAAGATTTAATTTGTTTGCAATGAGTTGTAGAGTTTCATATTTATCTGATAAAGGTTTTGTGACGAGCTTGATATATTTCTCGAAATTATTAATAACAACTGATTGGTGAAATTTTTCAATGTTAATGTCCATCGCTTCTACAGCAAGTGTCGGTATTTTGAGATTAGCAGCCAAAAGTGAAAACATGCCCATGTTGGCTCCAATATCGACGAACCCATAATCAGGATTTTCAACAAGGATATTCTGGAGATATTCCATATTTAGTCTTTCCCATCTTTTCGACCTTCTTATAGAATTCGTGATATATTCTTGTGGGTCGTCGTGAACACATATTAGTATATCCCGAGTATTGTTAAAAACGGAATGCATTCAAAGGAAGCTTGATTTGTTGGCTGAAGTTGAAGACATAATCTTTGACAGTGGCCGATGGCGAATAGGATTTTTTATTCTCCGATGACCTGAAGTAACGTTTTGTTGTAACCTTCTTTAGATTGAAATGTGAAAATATTAAAATAATGCAGCCGACGATGGTGATCAGGATAGACCGGAAAATGTTTCTCATTTTGTGAAGATTAGAGATAATAAAATCTTTTACAGACAGTACAAATCCTAAGTTGTGTTTTTTTTATTTTACTATTTCCTTTGTTATAGACGGCTTAATTCTTCTGTACGTGTCTATTGAAGCAAATGTGAAATACTTTTATTTTAATGTTAACGAGGCAGTAAACTATTTACCATTGACAGCTTGTAGGAAAACTGATAAATATCAGACCTTGACAGATTCTTTTATTCTTACATTTTTATTACCTTTAATCTCTTTATTTTTCTTTTTTTCTTCCTGTAATTTCTGTATTTGTTTTGTCTTTTTGTGTTTTTCATTGGCTCATTTTTCTTTCATTGATTCTATGAAACTCTACAACTCATTGCAAACAAATTAAATCTTGGAGGAATCAGAATACATATAATATTAATATATATATATATATATATATATACATATTCATATATATATATATATATGTATATATATATATATATATATATATATATATATATATATATATACACATAAATATACATATATATAGACATATACATATATAATTTTTTCATTATGCTTTTAAATACAAAACGGTTAACAATGTTGTGTGCATTCATTAGAACATGAAAAATTACCCATTATGGAATTTTTTCTTTTTGTGTTATAATGTCATGGTGACGCGTGTATTAAATCACGAAAAAAACTGTTCGTTTACAGGCATTTCAGTACATTACTGCAGAATTAATAAGTTTATTCTGTTCAGTGCCGGCTTTAATTTTTTTTAATATAAATGTGTATTTTTATAATAACGACACACACACACACACACACATATATATATATATATTTCGGATACATTCTCCCAAAGTCTATTTAATTTGGCATATAATGTTGGTCCATGCATAATGAATAATTACGTCAAAGGAAAACAACGCATATCTTTATATAAATACTTATACTAATGAACAACATATAGTTTCACTTGCACCCCTGAAGATGATCTTGGAAGAAGATCGAAAGTACTTGGGAAATGAAAATAAAAGAAATTTAAACAGCTATAGCACGGAAGGGTATTCGTGAGTATGAACGGATTTTTATTAAAAAATTAGCAGACATAATGTCTGTAATTTATTCAATCGAACATGTCTAAAAAGAATTCGCTGCCCTAAATACACACACACACACACACACACACACACACACACACATATATATATATATATATATATATATATATATATATATATATATATATATATTCCTTCTTAACTAAATTTTCTATGCCTGATGATGACTGGACGTATAGTCAAAATTATTTGCATATTTAAAGAATAATACAGTTTTTAAAAAATCCACAATAACAAGGATCATAAAATCATTAATGTTAATGCATTTTTAAAATTTAGTTAGCGAATGGATTTCGCCATTTATATCATTAACAATAATAATTTACTTTTTGTGTGAATGATTCATTTGTAATATAAATTGAGCTGCACCACATATTTGATTTAAAAAGAACTGATCCGACGTGCAAGGCTTTGGGATGACAACTGAGTCATTTTTGAAAGATATATTTCATGCCACGTTGACTGTTAAACGCCAACAAAAAAAAAAGAAAATTAAATTGCGATATTAGTAAAAACTTGGCGTTGCGACTGCACGCTCTACAAGTTTGTATCCTTTATAAATAACATAATAAAAAATATTTGGATTCGCATTATATTTTTTCGTCTACTGAGGGATGATTGAATCTTTGGCCATCACGCAAACACTTCGTGATTTGCACCCACATCCTCTTGCGTATCCGGTTAAGGACAAAGCGAACACACGTGGCGATTTTCGGGAACAGCAAAAATCTTTTAAAGTTTTCAGTTTCCCGTCTGACCAATGGCAGATGCCTGTTTCCAAATGGACTGCCTATCGAAATAAAGATGATAGCAAAGGCTGTCGACTAGAGACTGAAAGGACTACAACGAAACTGAATCGACCAATAAACGCCTGCAAGATTCTGTGTACCCACGGTCATTCTGAAATAAAAGGAATCCGAAATTGCCGGCTGATAAAATATTGTTTTCACATTAGAACTCTCGCTTCGGCGAATTAGAACTCTGCGTGGAGATATCATCAACACAACTGACCCATCAGAGACAGTTAGGTTGATTTCTTGGCTTGATCTTTTTATATATATCTGTATTCGCTCTTACCTTCTGTTATTTCATGATCTATTTCCCGTTTGTTAAACGAACTTTTCTTTTATTAAGTGTTTCTGTATTTATAAATCAATGTTTTATTTTGAAATCCATCGTCTTGCGTCAGTTTTTCGCTGACTCCCTTGTGTCGCTTGCATCCTTGAGTGAAGACCGAGAAAGGATCCCACGTTTTCCTTTTTTTAACCCGTGGTTCACATATATGCTACAAGTTCGTAACAATATATATGTATATATATATATATATATTGTGACGAATGCTGATAACCTAAACACGCATATATTAAGGTTAATCTCCGCCTGACAACAGAAGATGTCACGTGGGAGTCTCGAGACATTTTGGGAAGGCAAGTCATGAGGTTGACTGACCCAATTACCTGTAGCAACAGACGTCTAGACATAAGCTAGTCAGGGGACTGACGTAAGGTCGTGAAGCAGCAGGAACTGGAATTCGCGCCAAAATGCAGGACACGTGGGAAATAGAAAATTAATTGGAAGTCAGTTGCTGTCTTGTCTTTGAAGGAGCAAGACTCGAAATCGAAGCGTTGATAACTTATGAACTGAAAGATGAGACTCATTTTGATAATGATGGAACTTGTCCGATTCATCATAAGCAATTCCGGATAAGAAACATAAGGATGTATATTTCTGTTCGTCAACTCCAGATTGAAGAAGATAAATCGAGTATTTATCACAGAAGACGCAAGGAAATTTGCACGCTGAGAATACTGCCTGTGTTTGAAGACAAGAAAGAGAAATCAAGAGAGAAGAAGAAAGTATATATCTCTGTTGCAGCCGGGCCGTGTTTTAAATTGAATTTGTGTAAAGAAAAAGAAAGAAAAAAAAAAAGGAAACGTGAGAGAGAAAAGAAAGGACAATGAGTAAGAGAGAGAACTGAATATAAAGATAAGTAACTATATATTTTGGACCCGTGTTAGAAAGATACACATGCATCCACAAATTTTAGGTTCTCACAAACACCTTTCCACATGTCAAAATAGTAAAATATAAATCCTATCCCATCTCTTTCTTTTTTTTTTTTTTTTTGGTCATGCGTTGATTTCTGCATTCGGAGTTATTCATACTTATTTTTTTTATCCGTTCGGGTTCAGTCGAATCCACTTGAATTTGGGCATATTTTGGTATCCCAACATAAGTCATGAGATTCTGGTCGTCCGATGTTTTACTCATGCATATATTTTTCTTTTACTTTAATATTTTTGTGTATATGTACATATTAAAATTCTTATACCAAAATTCATACGCCTTATCGTTCATCCTTGAATTGTGGATTAGTACTCGTGTTGAAACCGAAGCGAACCTGGGAAAAGATTACTGTTCGATTATCCTAACTGAACAGTGTTCTTTAAAATATTTTTGTATAATAATTGTCCATTTGTCATGGTCTGGAAGAGATAGCCGTATCTCTCCACGGATGTGATAATGTGGTCGGCGTATGATCGCATTATAAACCATTCGTCGACTAGGGCATATGAATATATATATATATATATATATATATATATGTATATATATATATATATTGTTATAAACCTGTAAAAAAAATTTCCGTCAACCAATATGAAGTCTCAAATCACAAAAAAAAAAATCCATGACGATAGTCAACCGTTTTAAACAATATATATATATATATATATATATATATATATATATATATATATATATATATCAAGTATAGAATTGGTGTATACGGAATAAATTCCAATAACCAAAAAAATACTATTCTTAAAAGAGTGCTCAATACATAGCAGAGCAAATATCATTTTTTCGGAAATTATAACATAAATATGTTCGTTTTTTATAATAACATATATATGTTCGTTATGTAGATGATATATTTATTATAGATGAATTGTATAAAAAAGTAAATCAAAGCATCTTGACCGTCGTATTCAATGAAATGTGCATATATATATATATATATATATATATACATATATATATTTATATATATATATGTATATATATATATATATATATATATGTATATATATATATATATATATATATATATATATATATATACATACATATATACATGTACACACACACACACACACACACACACACACACACACACACACACACACACACACACACACACATATATATATATATATATATATATACATGGATATATGTAATCCATTGAGGCCTATAATAGCACACAAAATTGTGAGACACCATATAAGCATTTTTCTAGACATCTTATTGAAACCTCTTATCAAATATTAAGGGTTTTATTTCAGATGATCTAGATTTTCTGAATCATCTTCCTAACGAGATAAACCATAATATTTACATAGTCTCTATGGATGTTATGAATTTACATAGCAACATCTTACATGATTACGGAATAGAGGCTATAAAATAATGGCGAGAGACGTTTCGCCATGATCTACCAAACCGTATCAAAAGGAAAGTTTATAATAGAAAGCCAGAATTCATCTTAAAATAAAATTATTTCAAGTTCAAGGAAATACCCTACCGACAAAAACCAGGAATAGCCAAAGGGGCAAAGTTTGCACCAAAACATACCAACCTAATCATGAGATGCCATGAACTAAAATTAATGACAGAACCTCGCAAATCTAAGGAATCACTTCATTTGAAACATAAAAGACAAATGGAAACGATATCTAGATGTTTTTTTTATTCTGTAGAATGAAAGTCTGTATAAACTAAACTATAATTTAAAACATGCATTAATAATATAAATGCTAGCATAATATTCACTAAGAGCAACAGCAACAAAAAAACTTCCCTTTGTAGACATATTAATAACAAAAACAAACACTAAACTAGAAACTGCCATATACTTTTAAACCGATTGATCCTCGATAACATCTGCTTTTACATCTTCCCACCGGAAAACACACATTCCACTCAATCTATCCAAGCGATTATGCACAATAGTTTCAAATACAATCACAAGCGACCACAGAATAGAAAGAGATGAAAAATACTCAGAGAAAATAACCAATAGTATTGAAAAAGGAAAACAAATTAAAATCTACACCTCCGAAAAACAAAAGGACAAAAAAGAGAACAAATGGTCATCACATATATCTCAACTTTCAACCCAAAGAACACAGAAATACACACACACACACACACACATACAACAGACTTTAGCCAGTCTACTAAAGGATAAAATACAAATATATGAAAAGCCAATTAAAAATATCCCATCATAAAGAGGAAACGACAACATAAATCACTAAAAAAATACTGACCGGTGCAAAACTGCAGAACACATTTCAAGACGCTCAGGTGGAAAAAAATTCAACCGAACACTTTGCGGAGTATGTAACTCCGACAGATCAAAATTTAAAATTAAAAATGAATTCTCGTGCCATTCAGAGAATTTAATATACATAATTACATACACAAAGATTGCCACGAGAATTACATTGGTCAAACCGGCTAGTCCTCCGACAAAGGATGACTGTTCATCACCAACAAATCACAGACCCCCACATCAGAGAAATACCCATTAGCCAACATATAGAAATACGGAGGACAAAATCTGCCAAATTTTAAAAGATCTTCCCATTCTAACAGTGCGACTACAGAATCACTGAACAAAAGGCGTATTAATAAAGAAATATTTTTTCATCACAAATGCAAACCCATATTTAATTCCTTGCATAAATAGATTCTATCAAATTCCTCTTACCATAAACGACATATAACCAGTTGCGACCCTTTGATTTTCATTTTTTTTCCTAGATACAAAAGATAAGCATGGACAAATGGAGAAAACAGTTAAAAAACTTTTTGAAAAGCCGAAACGAAATTGGTTAAAAGTAAAAAAAGTTACAAGAAAAGGAAAACAACAAAATATTTTCTAAGATAAAAACACTGAAAATTCAATTGTAAGTAACAAAGTCTAAAAGATTTCTCTGGAAAAAATTCCTGTATTATAAATAAATATCACTATATTCAGTATTAGGTGCCTCTTTTTCCAATTCCCATTTTAATCAATACAATAAGTTTCGTACAGTATATTTGTAACACAAATATGTTTTTTAAACACACACACACACACACACACACACACACACACACACACACACACACATACCATTCCACCACCATTTACAAGCACTTCTATCATTTTACTATATTATTTCCTGCTACATATATATATATATATATATATATATATATATATATATACTTATCATATATATATATATCAAGTATGTGGTGCAGTTCAATTTAAATTACATGAATGTTTTTGTATGAATAATTCATATAATATACATATATATATATATATATATATATATATATATATATATATATATATTTATATATATATATATATATATACACATATTTCATTAAAAATGACAGACAAGTTACTATTGTTAAGCTATTTATTTAATTTTCTTATGTTCGAACAAGAGCTTTCTTTTCTGGATAAAGAGTGTGTAAAAACTGTCCAAATATTTTAGAGTTCCGAGTGCTTTGGGCCATAACTTTAGTCATCATAAAGGGTGATTTGATTTTTCAGCTTAATTGAGTGTGTGCATTATGTGTGTGCTTTAGTGTGTTGGAAGGATGATTCAATTCCGAATACAGTTGCTTACATAGTGGCCTTGTTCGTAGTCAATATTGTTAGAGTTGTTTTTTTTTTTTCTTATTAAAGCTTCCATTATTTTTAATCTTTTTTACAGGTGGATGAAGTTATTGTATTTGTGTTTTCTACTCGTATGTTTCCATTGCTGCATTAGTCCAAACTTCCTACCGCACCACAATTGTCATTACCGCATCAGTCCACAATTATACTTCCTTCCCCCCTCAGAAAAATTAATACCACCACATAAATACCAATATGTATTACAAATTGTAATTTCTACCATGTACATAAGCGCAATCGCCAAAAACAAATAAATAATCGGCTTTTGAAATAATAACAAACAGCATTAAAAAACTTACAAAACGGCATCAAAATTTAAAGAAATAATAACAAGTTTACCTACCATAAGCTTACACCATACGTGATAAAAACACACACGGTAGAAGGTGTGTGAACATGCGTGTATACGTACATATATAAATCTGTGAGAAAACATTCTGCGAACAAAATAGACAAACGATCTGCGCGTTGCCACTGCTAATTTGAAAAAAGTTCGCCACACAATTCAACATACAGCGACCAATTACGTACGTATGCACGCAACGACACATGGATACGCATATAAGCCCAGTGCGAACACTGTTCATATATGGTTATGTTTGTGTGAGCTGCAATGCATGAACGTGCGTGTATGTATGTCTCCATACGTATGAGTGGTGTTCCGACGACAATATTTCTTCCCACTTCCATAAAACAGAAATATACGCAACGATAAATATATACAAATATAATAAAGTGTAGATTATAAAAAAAGTGTTATTTTTTAGAGAACATTTATTTTTCAAATACAATTACAAGGAGAGAGATATCTCGAAATGTCGGTGTTTTCTTACATTTTCTGAATATCAAATGTAACATCGTACTGAAACATTGTAATATTTTTTACAATTTGTTCATCATTTCTATGAGTTCGGCCATATTTTTGCATCACAATATATATATATATATACATATATATATGTGTGTGTGAGTGTGTATGTGTGTGCGTGTGTATCATCTGTAAAAAATAGCAAGTTGAATGTAGTTGAATAAAAACGCTGTTATTAACTTTGATCAATTTCTGTATACAATAGATCTGGATGTGAATGCTTATAGAATAATAAAGCCTATCGATATGCGTGGAATACTATATTCTAACGGATGGCAAAGTGAATAGATTCTTTAACAAAAATTGGTTAAAAGCTATTTCAAGAAATTATTATTGTTTTAAAATGTTTAAATTTCACGATACTGGGACAATATCACGATTTAAAATATTTTTATAAATTGAAGATTATCTTTGGCCTGTGACGTATTAATTCGATTGTGATGTTGTGAAGTATATATACGTAACTGAAAAACATGAAATATTTTCTCTATACGCTGAAAAATGTGGCTCCTGAAAATCTAATAAAAAAATAGTGTACCTGAAAAACAGACGACAAAATCTTTCCGGTTTGCTGAAGATTTTCCTGTACGATTTTTCTTTTTGACTAATACAATAATTAATGAAAATATAATTTAGATTCGTAAGAATTCCAATCAAATTTGTGTATTTGCACTTAAGTACAAGATGCATTCGATTCTTGTGCTCTTTGCAAAGAACGAAATGCTAAGAAGGAAATCTCTGTTTATAGTTTCCAATATATGTCTGTCTTCCATTTATTAAATATAGAAATATTCAACTCTTCTTCAAGAAATGGTGATTTGAATGGCTTGTAACCACGTTTTTGTAAAAAGTCCACAACAAATACTCGATCTTTATAACTTAAAAGAATCCACTCCATGAAGACGTGACTGATGTGTATTGCATCGAAGAATTTCTGAC